ATTCATGTCCTTTTTAGTAATTTTAAACCTTAAAAAGTAAAAAAATCATGAATCATTGATATTATAACGATTCTCGCTTTCCTTCTCTCAACGTTCCCGGGAATTCCCAAATCGGAATTGAAAATTTGGAGAAATCAGAGCTTTGATTCATGCATTATGAAGGATCTCTGATGATTAGGTTCGAAATTCGTGAAGAAATCTTCGAATCGCTGAATTACGTTTTCTAGATTCGGCTGAGGAGTGAAATTGGAGGAGGAGGATCGGAGATGGCGGCGGGTGTAATGGTGACGGCGACGGGAGCAGTGGTGATTTTGTACTTACTGAGCCGTCGGATCGTGTGGGCGAGAAATGGGGAAGATGATTCAGGAGGTGAATTGGGTAAATCAGGGAGATCCGGAAGGAGGAGGATTGTTAGAAGACCGGCTCAAGCGCCGGCGACTTGGCTTGAAACTATTTCAACTTTGTCAGAGACGTTACGGTTTACGTATTCAGAGACTCTGGGCAAATGGCCTATTGCCGATCTCGCTTTTGGTATTAACTATTTGATGCGTAGGCAGGTTTGAGCTTTTTATCTCTTCTGGGTTTGAATTTTTTCAGTTGTCATCTGTAAATTGGTTGCATAAATTAGCGAACTTGATTTGATCTTTTGGTATATATATGTTCTGTGACTTAATAGAAATTCTAATTTACTCTGTGTTCTTTCATATTTTTGGTGGGGATATTCTGAGTCCTATATCGTTTACTTTCCTAATAAGACATATTTGAGCTCTGTTCATTTCAGTGTAGGATGGTTGTTTGGTTATTTTGCATGTGGGAAAAATTTACACTTGTAATCTATGACTAGTGAATAGTGATGTGGTCACTATCTATCCTTCATCTGTGTTTTGCTGGTTCAATGCAGAGTGTAATTATTTTAGATTCATTTGGTAATTTTTGCATGTTTTGCTGGTTCAATGCAAAGCAATCGTAGTTAGTGACGTTGCATGTTTGCATTTTTTTTTCAGGGGAACTTTCCAACTGCTAGTGTTTATGCTGGAAGTAATTGTATAGAGTTAAAAGGACCAGAGATTATCATGGAGTTGACGGAGTTACTGAGATTTTTGACCCTCTGTATGCTCTTCTCCAAGAAGCCATTTGCCGTGTTTCTGGAGACTGCTGGTTATACTCATGAAGATGTCCTTCTTCAGAAGCCTAAAGCAGGGGTAGGTCATTTCAGTGTGATTTTTCTTTGAATGCTATTACTTGTGTTTAGCTTGTTTATAGTGACTTGATACTTTCTTGTCCAGACTAGAAATCCTTTTTTGAAGCACTCTATATTCTTACATTTTGGATAGCTTCTCTTGGGAACATATATTTTGGGAGGCTTACAAGAGTTTGTCTCATAGATATTTTAGTAACAGTATATATTCCCCATAATGTATGATCTTCAGTGCTGTTCCTGTATTAAAACTTGGACCTAATTTGTTACAAAGAGTTTTGTCCGTTGAATTGTATATTTGATAAATTGGCTATCATGCTGGTCAAATGGAAACTAAAAGAAAAGGGGAAGCTTGATAAAATCTCAGTACCAAGTGTTTTATTTGGTTGAATATTTTTATACTTTTGAGTTCTGTTTTGTTGTTTTCGTTTATATCTGGAACCATAAACAATTGAATTTGGGAACCCTGCAGATTATGCAGCCTGCCTTCACGATTATACGAGATACCAATTCAAAATGTCTCCTGCTTTTGATCCGTGGCACTCATAGCATTAAAGATACATTAACAGCAGCAACTGGTGCAGTGGTCCCTTTCCATCATTCAGTTTTGCATGATGGTGGGCTAAGCAACTTAGTTTTAGGTTATGCACACTGTGGAATGGTTGCTGCAGCTCGATGGATTGCTAAACTTAGTGTTCCTTGCCTGCTCAAGGCCCTTGATGAGAATCCTAGTTTCAAGGTTCAGGTAAATGCTCTGTATTTAGCGATACATTCCTGATTTACAGATTACTATTGCGTTTTCTGTTCTTACTAATTCTTTTTCTCGTTATGACTGCTATAGATTATATACCAATAGGTGTAGATGACCTAGAAAAAAGTATGTCGTTTACTTATGTGATAATTCAGATCATATTTTTTTCTTCTAACTTTCTTTTGGAGACAGAATTATTTTTCCCATTTGAATTCCAGGACATTATGTAGGCATCTGTCACACTAATCAAACTGCAGATGACATAATGTTCAAACATCAGAGTCAATTAATTCATTTAGAAATTCCGAATTCAAATTCGTGTTAGAGAGATTATTGATACTTTTTAAATGATACACATTTTGTCGTGAGAATTTCACTGTTGAAATAGGAAGTCCTTTATTACCGTATCGAATTATTGGAATCTAAGGAGCATATTTTGTTTCAGATTGTAGGTCATTCTCTTGGAGGTGGGACGGCTTCACTTTTAACGTATATTCTTCGGGAGCAAAAAGAGTTTGCCTCCGCTACTTGTTTCACTTTTGCGCCAGGTACACCCAATTTAAGGATTAATGGTGGTGTTTTCTTGTCTTCTGTTATCTGGTCCTCTCCCTTAGTTTTGATGCTGAACTCTTTATATGTCAATTAGTTCAGTGTGTTAAAATTAAAAATCGTTACTATGCACTGACTTCAAATTGAACAACTCGCAGCTGCTTGTATGACTTGGGATTTAGCAGAATCAGGCAAGCACTTCATTACTACTATTATCAATGGATCTGATCTTGTCCCAACATTCTCTGCTTCTTCAGTCGATGACCTTCGTTCTGAGGTACGTGACCTGCTTTGCCTATATGTGATGCTACATTCACAGGATTTATCTCTGCCACCACTAGAATAAATTTTCCTGATTCTTTAGTGGTACAATAACTGCTAACCTTGGTATATCAAATAGTGGATACAAGCCTGCATTTTTAACTTGTTACTGCCGTAGAGAGAAAATGTATAGAGATATCGTCTTTCCCCTGCTAAATGATTCAGTCTTTCCAGGCATCTTAGATATTTTCACTATTTGGCTAGTTGACAAAAGTTTTTCCCACAAGTGTTCAATGGAAAATGGACACTTTGGTATTAACTTTTAATTGTGATTTCTGTGGGTTCTTCCCATCCATGGTTCTCCAGTTTATATCCACTTTTGCAAACCATGGTTCAAATTTACTCGTCAAGTGTTATATGTACACTCATTTTTGACAAAGATAAGATTTTGTCTATTTGCTGTCAGGTAACCTCGTCCTCATGGTCAAATGACCTGCGTGATCAGGTTGAACACACCAGGGTCCTTAGTGTTGTTTATCGGTCTGCAACTGCTATAGGATCTCGTTTGCCCTCTATAGCCAGCGCGAAAGCAAAAGTGGCTGGTGCTGGGGCGATTCTGCGGCCTGTCTCAAGCGGCACTCAGGTAGTATCTGTGGTTCACAATGCAAATAATATCATAAGAAAAAAAGGTTGCGGCTTTTTGAGTGAATGGATATATATGGAACAATTAAATGTATAGTTCATGGACAGGTGTTTCTTTTGTCTTGATGATGATTAATGGTGAAATTTTTGTTCAGGTCATGCTAAAGCGTGCGCAGGATGTAGCGCAAGCCGTTGTGCAGACCCGTTCAACTCTATCGTCATGGTCTTGCATAGGACCACGCCGTAGAGCTATTAGCTCTCAGCTTAACTCCAAAGTCACAGACTTGCCGGAAGCATCAGCTATTATGCCTGAAAGAAGAAGCACTGAAGCTCTACTGGCTGAAACTGTAGTGATAGAGCGTAAAGGTCACAAGAGAACAGAACATAGTTCTTCAAGCAGCAGTGAATCTGATCGCGATGAACCAGACGAAGAAGAAGAGGAAGAGCCATTGATCTCAATTGACCAAGTCATCGCTGAAACATCTTCAATAGAAGAAGACGTGACAGAAGGTGAACTATGGGATGAACTGGACAAAGAGTTGACTCGACAGGAGAATGAAAGAGACAGTGAAGCCATGGAGGAAGAAGCGGCAGCAGCAAAGGAGATAACAGAGGAAGAGACTGTCATTATTGGCGGGGGCGATTCCTCCGCAGGACAGAACCAGAGTCCGGTTTCAGCATCTTCAATGGACTTGATTGAGAACCAGCGATTTTACCCGCCGGGTAAGATAATGCACATAGTGTCAGTAACTGAGACAGAGTCTGAAACAGAGCGTGACGAGGTGGTGGTGGTTGGAACGACGACGGTGGAGCGTGTAAGGATATATGAGACTCCAAGAGAACTGTACAGAAAGATTAGGCTATCGAGAACAATGATAAATGATCATTATATGCCAATGTATAAAAAGATGATGGAACTCTTAATTACTGAGCTCGAGTGTGATCCACACTCTTCATGAGCTCCTCCAGCTTCATTATCATCATCAACTGTACATTATAAATATTTATACACAGAGTTTACATGTTTTTTCTTCAAACGTAGAGCGTTCAACACTTATCAGACCTTTATTGTGATGATCTAATTCTCAAACAATAGCCTCCACTTGAATTTGATGACAATATGGTAATTATTTGACATCAAATTTGGTTTATGGTTCAATTTAGTTGGGTTGACTCGGTTAGGTTAAGCTTATTATATCAAAGCCAAAAGTTCTGGTTCATATTAATTTTGATTCGGTTAGGTGAAGCTTCTCAGTTCTCAAAAAAGTCTATCTCGTTTGGTTTGGGTAGAACCTCGATTGGGAGATCGAGGCTTCCAAAAATTGACGGGCAGGCCCAACCAAAGTAAGGCAAGGCCCACTCGCCTCTAATTATGTTCGTCAAATTCTGTGTCGGCACGATCCGCCGTCTCTAAACGATCATTGACGGATCATCCTTCACCTCTGACAGAAACGGGTTACATAATATGACAACACTCATTTCTTTTTATAGCCCAAAGAAACACTACCCTTCTCTAAAACTCCCGATGTGGGACATTTATTGATTTTTCTTCTTTCTTTATTTTCTTAACCAGCTTCGATAACAATTAAACATTTAAAACCTACAAGTTCATTTTTATTGTAACGATTGAAGTTTGATAGAAATATCATTTTTTACTTTTTCTTTGGTTTTTGATCAACCTCCATATCTAGACTTGAGAGCCTCCGGTGGTTCTTCTTCCATGATACCAGACCCTGTGCTGCTTAAATACTCTCTGATGGTCGTTTTTCTATCTCCCAAGAATGTATGATCCAGAAAGTTATTGTAAGCTTCATCTCCTAGGTTTTTAGCAGCCAATACACTGCAAAACACAGGAGATATTCAACATGTAAGAATCTTTCATCAAGTTCCAGCAGAAACCATCAAATTTCTCATCCAAGTACCAAAAATTATTCAGAGCTAATTCAAGAACAAGGTTGTGGTGCAACAGTATAATTAGTTGTTGTTTCGCCCAACACTTGTTTCTCCCATTTTATTAGAAACAAGTTATGGTTGATGGTTTGCTAATCGATCATTTAGCTCCAAAGTTGGATAAAAACTGTAGTAAGGAGGAGAGTGTACCAATGTCTTAGATAGAGACGACAAGGTAAGATGTCGTCCCGCCAAATCTTCTCGATGTTGAATCTTCCATAATGTTGAAAGTAAATCTCTTTGTTTCCTGCAGATAAACAACAAAGGAATGAATCCTATAATAGCTTATAGCTTGAACGTTTGAGACATTTTAGATAGACTTGGAAGGGCTAACCTTTGCATCTAATCTGGAAAAACTCTTCATCACTGTATCGACCACAAAGTACCTGTTCAAGCCTCAAAAACTCAAACTCGGCAAAGAGTAAACAAACAGAACAAATGTCATTAAGAACAAAGATTTGTTTAAACTAGACGAACCGCAGAATTGGTGTAAGGTTTGCCTTCCAATGTTTCAGGAACAACCTATGTGTGAGGGAAAGTATGAGCAGTGTGACACAGAATAAGGCATATCTTGAAACTAGGGGAAAAAGAGGAACTTGTGACTCACAGCGAGAAACCTGAATTCAAGCTCCCTTCGAATAAAAGCCGGAATCTGTATTTTGATGTATCAAAACAGTCACGAGTATTCATATACTTCTATCAAAAGAGTGAATCAGTTTTCAGAGTTATGTTTTGGTACCTCTGAGCTTTTGATCTCAAAGACAGTAACCACAAGGCTCTCTCCTTCACATGGCTCAACACTCAAGCTTGAGATCTCCTGTTTCATTCATCACATTCAGAATTGTATATCTAATTCCAAATCAATATCTATATCTCTAATAAACCTTTGCCATTATTCATTCACAGAAGTTTCATAATCAGTTTCTAAAAACTCCATTTTTTCAATATAACCAATTATCGAATCAGACCTTAGTTTCAGGATTCGCGATTCCACGCTCGAAGAAGATGGGAGCAGAGTGAGCGAAAACTCTTCGGAATCCTTGCAATTTCGCGATTCTGAAATTCTCCAAATCTGGAAATGTACTCCTCGCGCTTCTCTCTAAGTAAGAACAAAAGCAATCAATCATTTCTCGATGATTCATGATCTCAATCAATACACAAACGAAGGAGAAGTGTACGAACCAGAGAGAAGAGAACCGAAGCCAGTGATGGAGATCCGATTATCAGATGAGAGAAGCTTCTCGAAATCAGATTCATCTTCCAATTCCATCACCTGCGGCAAATCGGAACTGCGGTTATCACGAGACATAGCCTCAATTGATCGCCGGCGATCTTGTCGTCTCCTGGAAGTTATCAACGAGATACGTGGAGGAGAGGCGCGTGATTTGCACGAAGTCGATGAAAGCGCGTATGAGAATGGTAATGATGTGAGTGAGAGTGAGAGAGCAATCATTGGAGAAGAAGACGAAGAAGAAGAAGAAATATGATTTGGGTTAAGTATAAAAAATTAAATACGAAAAATTAATTCCAAGAAAAATATGAGAATAATATTCAAATCTAAATTCCAAAAGTTATCATTTTTGCACACATAGAAGCTTTGTCTCTGACTCTCTGATTATATAGCTTAAGTAGAAACTGGAGGTTTGGTGTGAATTCTACTGAGTTTCCATTGTTTAATCTTTGCCAAAGTGTTCTCTACCTTCAACATTCGTGCTTCCGTCTTCAAAGCTAGCTCCTTTATTGCCAGCTTCCTCTGTTTCAATCTCTCATCATCTTCTTCCTTCTCAGCAGCTACTTCATTAGAAGAGTTTTTGTTTTCATCATTCTTTTGCTCTGTTTCCTCTTGTGTTGTTGCTACTGTCTCATCTCCATAAGCAAGCTTTTGAGGAAGGTCTGGAACGTTGTTATCCGCCACAAGTCTACTTCTTTCTCCTACAGTATTCTCTATGTCACCAGACTTCTTTCTAGATTTGATCCTCTGCGCAACGGTCATGTTATCATCATCCTCTTCTGTGTCTGCGCTCTCATCATCTTCTGTCTCAGCACTCTCGTCATCTTCTGTCTCAGCAGCACTCTCATCATCCTCAAGAGCTAGCTTGCGTCTCTTGTTTGTCGAATGCTTGGCTTTCTTCATTTCATCGTCCAACTTCTGATAGACTTGGCTCAATGGTACTACCTTAAGAGGTACATCATCATCACTATCATCATAATGATCAACTGTACTGCTTACATTGAAAGTTTCCATCGATTCTTTCCGCATTTCTGAAACTGATTTCGCCCACCAGTCTCTGTATCTTGCAGTAACCGAAGATGTGGCGAGGCGAGAAGGAACATATAGCTTTAAACCAACAAGTGATTTGTTGTATTCATCCCATGCTTCTTGTTCTGTGAAGTTTCTTCTATGATTAGTACCCAAGACAGGAAGATCTTGCGCCAATCCGAATTGCATCGCCACTCTATTTGGATAGTAGTTCTCTACTAAACCAATGCCAACAAGCTTAGAAACTCTCACACATCTAGCAAACGACACAAACTCATCATCATGACCATCAAGACTCTCATCAATCCTCACCCACTTAGCTTCTTCAACATAAAACCGAGGTGGGTTCCAATTCCCCAAAGGTTCACTATAGGGACGCCAATCAAAATTACCATGAAAAATAATCAATCCCACATTCTCAAATCTCTGTTTCAGACCACTCCATTGAGAAATTCTTGGTTTACCCCTTGGTATCACCTTAGCTTCTGGTCTTATACTCTTGAACCTCTCCCATATCCATACTTGAACAAGCTTAAACAGAGAAGTAAGATAAACATTTTGCATAGAGGCTAAAACACAGATTTGACCCAAATCATTGTACAGGTTTGCGAGAACCGCAGGAGCTAAAGCAATCCTTTCACCTCTAGCTAGACGAACAGCTATTGGGAAAACATCAATGGAAATCGAACGGCCAAACTTATCTGGAAACACAAATTTCGAAAGCCATAACACTAGAAACGCTTCATGCTCCATTTCATCATCTACAAAGCTTGAAATCCATGATTCCTGCTTCAAACTCTCATCCTTTCGTCTCTCTAGTCTCTCCACTGCTACTTTCATCTCTGAGCTTTGAAGAGAAGCAAACACAGAAGAACCAGAGATAGAAAAACCCAAAAGCACATTTACATCTTCAAGGGTTATGGTTGCTTCACCCCAAGGGAACACAAATGTATTAGTTTCAGGACACCAATTCTGAGCGAGAGAGAGAATCAAAGACGGGTTTTTGTGGATTTTGTAAGTCGATGCTTTGATTGCTTCAAAAATCCCAGATTTTAACCAAGTGGGTTTGTGTAAAGCTGCCATTTTTTTAGCCCAAAACTGAAACTTTTTGTTCGGTAACCTCCACCCACGAAAGAAAACACACAAAGACGAAGCTTTTAACTCAGGAGAAGGAGATGGACGAAGAATACCTTCAAACCCATCAATGGAGGTGACAAAGGGTTTCAAAAAGTGAGCTTTTTTAATGATAGGTCGACTGTTATTCTCACTGTAAGACACCATGAGTTCTTCTCTCTCTTCAACGAGATCTTCATCTATGGATGTTGAACGCATTTGGAGAAGAAGAAGATTGAAAATGGAGGAAAAATTGCCTCTTTGCTTTTGAAAGCAAATGTTGCTTGTGACAGGTGGAACAATGTACTATATATGGTAACTGAACTGAAAAAAAAATAAATACAAGAAAAATAATTCTTTTTTTTTTTTTTAGTCAACAGAATATAAATATATATTCATATTTGTTAACATATCCCAAAGCTTTTCACTAATTAAGCAATAATTTCAGTGTTTTGCAGTGTGTGACGTGTGAGGGAAGATTTAAAAAGAAATGAAAAAATTTGCAATCTAACAATAGATTTAGCTTTTATAGGAGCAGGAAAAGGTGACAAAATTGAACCTATCCTTAAATTTATAACTATGTAGCATTAATTTTCCGTTTGGCCACAATGAGTATTTAGGTTCTGGTTCACTCTGGACCAATATGGGCTTCTTGTTAGTTTTATTCTCATGCATTATTAATTTGAAACTATCCACAACAAAACATTGGTTAAAATTAGCCAAATTGTTTTAAGACTGATTTGTATTACAACCTTTGTGACTAAAGGCAACAAGTCTAATTGTCAGTTTGTGACAGTTCCAAAAAAAAAAAAAAAAAAATTGAAATGAATTGAAAAAAGAAGAAACACAACCACCATATCTATAATCTTTTATCACATATTTGAAAACAAGAAAGCTATATTAAAATGTCTAAAAATCCAGAACAGCCTAGGAATAAAAGACTAAAAAGAATTACTTCACTTTTTTTCCAACAAGTTTTTTTTTGAGTTTAGTGTTCTTCTCTTTTTCTTCTTCATGAATAAGCTCTTCTTGCCTTTCCAATGCAATAGTTTCTTCATATGTGAATTCAATTTTGTTGCAGAAGATATAGTCAAAAACAAATACCTCCAAAGCCCATCTACCATAATCAGCTAATTGCTTCTCATCGCGCTCCATATTATACTGTGTTTGGACATTGCCAACCTAGTTTCACATGAAATAAATTTCTTAAAAAAAACGTTACTAACACAAATAAAATTTCTAATTGACGTTGAGCCATAGGAGACTAACCTGCACAAGCTTTGGAGAACCCATTTCAGGCAATGGCGCAAGAACAAATCTCTCTAGAAGTAACATCGGATTTTTAACAAGAACAAATATATCATTGCTCAAACTAGCAACTAGAGCTTGAAATTCTTTGGCATCAATTGTTCTTTCATTCTTAGTTTCGTCTTCTTTGATCTTTAAAGCGAATTCTTTGTCATCATTTCTTCTCTCCTTCTTAGTTACCTCTTCAAGAGTCTTCATAGCCGATTCAATTTGGTTACTGATCATCAATTCTCTCGCAACCACGCTTGCAAGTCTTTCTAATTTTCTCCATTTTTCTTCAAGAGACTTTAACCCATAAAACAAAAAATCCATCACAATAGTCGATGTAACTTCATTCTTGATGAAGAAGTGTTTCACAACTAGTTTCAGAATCACATCCATTTTCTCTCGAGACATCTCGAGCCTCGCATTATGGTCCATCCCTAACCAAAAGACACATAAGCTGCACCAGAAATAATTAACTAAAATCTATTTTCTTGTAATGATTCACAACATGCTCAAACTTTTAGGATACATTTTTAATCAAGAAATAAACATGGAAATATACCTCTTCCATCTCTTTTTGTCGTCCATCACCTTCATAAGCTTGATTCTTTTCTCTTCCACAAAGCTCATGAACTTTTTCTCCACATCTTTCAAATAAACCTTAAGAAGTTCCTTCCTATACTGAGCATCAAGGCAGCGAAAAGGTCGGTTCACACACTCTCTACAAAAATTGAGAAAAGTTGGTTGTAAGTTAATGGTGGCATGGAAAAATGTGGCTATATATATCACTCAAGAGACACTCTAAATCTTGGCATTTACCTAATCACCTGAACTTGAGCTTTGAATACAAGAGAGTCAAACTTATCTATGAATCCATTTTGTAATTTTGGTAACTCAATAAACTTTTTCCATCCCCAATCATGCTCTTTCTTCCAAAACTGGTGTAACGTATCTGCGAAGGAACATGTTCAGTTTGTCTACGTTATTGCGGATTCAAGGTAAAGTAAAAGATTCAGAAAATAACCTGAAAACTTCGATTTCTTTGGATCTTTATTCTCAACAGCTACAGAAAACTGAGCTAAATGACTCCAACCTGTCTCAAAATGTTAACTTATATAATGATAAAGGTTTGCAAATCAAGAGAGTGAAAATTATACAGTAACAATACTCACCTGGAAGAAGCTTATCATAGTTTTCAACACAGAGAAACAAAGAGAGATAATTGGAAACATCACGCCCTCGTGGATAAATTAACAAATACCTATCAATAGAGTCATAGGTAAGAATAATAAAGAAAACAAAAAAAACATTTATATTCAGAAATTTTCAACTTTATTATTATGCAAATGAAAATGTCATTTACCATCGGTGGCCACCAATTTCAAAAGCATTGCTACGGACCTCTCGCTCATTGATTTGTGAAAATTTATTAATCTTCCATGTAAATGTCCCATATAGTTCAGAAGGATTTGATCCTATATAATATAACGATATCGAATAATAAACAACACGAATATACATATAGTAATGGTACATCAAATAAACTAATGAGAGTCATTTGAGGATTAAAAAATCAAAGAATGAAAATACTAACCACAATCATTCACGTTGTTAGCTAAAGTCCCTTTTCCAGAAGTTTCATTAGTGATCTCGGACATATCTCTCTCCTTCAAACTACGGAAATTAAATATTAAGCAAGTTTATCCGATCTTAAGGATGACACAAATAATCGTATAGACATGACACAGATCAAATTATCAAACAAAGATGATAAAAAACCATAAGATCGATTATTAGACGAATCTATAGATCAAATCATGTATATATAACACCAAAAATCTCACATCACCTAACCAGTAAACCCTAAAAGTCAATCTTTAAAATGTAGAAAGAACACTTACACGAAGAGCAGAGCAGAGAGAAGAAGCTTAATCGCACTAGTGTACGATATAGGAATTAAGTATTTTATAAAAAAAGATATACGAAGTAACAAATAATGACACAATTAAGGGAAAGAAAAGTTACTAGCATCACGGAGTAATATTCTTCAATCAGTTATAGAAAGATATATTAAATATTAATTATACTATTATGGTAAACAAGATCTACACATCTTTTTCGAAAAAGCAATCTTCCATTTGGCAATCCTTATTTAGTTGTTAAATTTAAATTTCTTTCTCTAGACATATAAATATGGGTAATTTTCAAAAATACTAGTAAAATGAGTTTTTGTTCCAAAAATACCATCACTAGTTTTTTTTTTCAAAAATAAAACTAAACAAATTTTGTCTTAAAATACCACAAAACAAAAACTAAATTTTAAGACTTCAAAACTAAATATAAACCCTAAAAAATAAGGAATTAAGGATATGATTTCAGTGGAATGTACTTGCAGAAAATGTCATGCATAAGCAAGTTTAACATTAGTGGCTCGAAGACATCCTTGATCTCGATCAACATGTGGAATATCACCAAGCCCAACTCCACAAACTATCTCATGGGAAAGCTACAAATTAAATCCCTTTTTGAGGCTCACAAGTTTTATTTTTTAACGATGACGATGAGTAATCTCACAGTTGAAGGCATCAAATCCCCACATTCTACATATAAGCGCCCTCAAGTAAACATCTTCTTCCATTTAGCCAATCTTCTCAAGGTTTCATTTCTCGAATCGCGGATGATTTTTTTTTTTTTTCAAATCCTAAAACAGTCAAATCTAGTTGAGGAAAATGTATATAATGGTTTATACAAATTTAAAGAGTACGAATAAAGAATATTTAAAGCGTAGTATCTGATATGTTTTCGTCATGCTTAGTGGAGTTTCTTCTTCACCAGTTTGTCCGAGTTCTATAAGATTTGAAGTTATGAGTTTTGTTTAAAGTATTTAGAATTCGAGTTAAGGATATTAAATGGGTTCAAATAGGTTTTCCATATGGCCTTTTAATCTTTTTCACAATCTATAACATTTTAATTATAGCAATTTAGATGTTATTGGACTTTTTTCTTCATAAATTTTAATGGGCTTTACTCAAATGTATATATACCATCCAAAGTTAAAAACTAAAGATTGCAAATTAGGGCTTTCAAAACAAACTAGATCATCACCCGTACTGTAGTACGGGTTGAATTTCATTTATTACAAAATTTATAAATTTTAAGTTTTATAATAAAGTTGTGATATATTATAATAGTAAGTGAAAAAATAATATTTTTTTGTCAGTCCCTATATATAATATTAGAATAAATATATTTTCCTTTTTCTATAGTATTCAATTATGCATATTTTTTTTTAAGATATAAAAACGGAAAATAAGATTATTTTTAAAAAAATTAATATTGTTTGAACAATGAGTTAATTTATGTTAACAACCACAAAATGAGAGTGCATATAATTTAGTTAGATCAAAAATAAAAATATCATAAATGAATCGCATCTAAAACGTAGATTATTTTGAATTACTTAAGAAAATTAGCTATTATTTTGAATTAATTTAGAAAATTATTTTTTCAAATTCTGATTCATTGGTTGTTGTAATAGAGATTTGTTTGAGCTAATTACGGAATTTACCAATTATTCACATAATCAAATATGTTATGAACATATATTTGGTATATAATAATACCAAATTCAATCCGTGTGTGGATTCTATATTTTCATTTTACAATCCGTATGAAAATATTGCGGCACAATCTATTATTTATTATTTTCAAAATTGCTTGCAGAATCAAATTTTCAAATATTTAGAAGTGTCAAACCTTATTTAACTCATCTCATCATAAAATCTTAAAATGCCGTCTGTTATAAGGATGATAACTTTCTACCATATAATACATTACATTTAACCTGCCGCCTACTATAAATATTTTAAACATATCTTTTTAGAAAATCAAATTAATGTATTTATAATTTTTTTTTATCTTTTTAATCTATTAAATATTTATGATATTCTTTAATATATTAAATTAAACTATTTTAAAATGTTCCAAATTAAAATCTTTAAATTTTTTTATTGTTTTATGTAAAATTATGAATTTAAAAAAATGATATGAAATTAAATATAAATATTCAAATAGTTATAAGGATCATAACTCATTTCATCATATAATATATTATATTCAACCCGCCGCCTATTATAAATATTTGTTTCAAAAAATCAAATTAGAGTATTTATACTTCATAAATTTTTTTATCTATTTAGTATTGATGATATTAAAAAAAAGTAATATATTATTCAAATATGAATTTTTGACCCGTTAAATTTGTTCTTTCATACATTGAATAATTTATATTCGTTTTTAAAAATTCAAATCTTGGTATATGCGGAAAAAATTTTACTTTTTTTTTTATTATATAAATGATAGAATGATTTATTTATTTATAGAAATAGAATCATATAAAGATGAGAGGTGAAGTATAATGATTAATAACAAATTAATATGGTAAGTTAGATATCAAATCTTATATGTTCATTTTGATTGGTCATTCTTTTTAAAGAAATTAATAATAGATTTTCGTTTTTATAATTAAATAAATTAATTAAATTGCATAAAATAGTATTTGACTTGTTTATCCTTAATGAGTTGAATTAATTTACTCTATAAAATTTTATTTCTAATGGCATTCTTAAGTAAATTCTTACAAAAGGGAAGGTTAATTAAGGGTAATCCATAAATTGTACTCCCCAAATAATAGTATAGGATTTCTTGTTTCTTCTGACTTTGTACTCTCTTTTTTTTTTTTTTTTTCTTGGAGATTACAAAAACAATTAGTAAGGAGAAGAATATTTTAAAGATGATTATTTTTTTAATCGTAAACAACTATACAATAACTTTGAAAAATTTAAACATTGATTAAAAAAGTGCAGTTATCGCAATAACCTCAATCTTGTTCAATTGTGAGAGGTTAGAATCTTCGTAAGAGTATCAATCGACGTCGTTTTTGGCCACTTTGTAATAGATATTCTTTTAGATTATAACAACGCTTTTATGCTGTGTGTAATTGCATTTTCTTGAAAAGGAATTTAAAAAGAGCAGGTTATTTTCACACAATGAAAATAAATTAGTAATAGACTATGTCGTACCTTAGTACTAATTGTGTGATGTTGGAATTAATCTTAATTGATATCATTTATATTGAAAAACAAAAAAAAAAACAGAGAGAAAAAGAAGAAGCTCTTATTTATATAGTTTGTTGAGCAGAATACGTAGTAACAAAAACAAAAGTAGTTTAATACGTAGAATCACAAGAATCAAATGAAAGAGAACATTTTGATTACTGCCGAAATAGTATTCACATTAAATACGCACTAATAATTAACCCTTATATATACTTTGGGAAAGATGATAATTATAATAATAAGGTAGAGCTAGCCACCCACAAGGCCACAAGCCATTATTTTCCAAATTAAGTAATAGTAAGCAAGACGATGGAAACCGTAGGTCGTCTCATGGTTCATCGTGGTATTGAATCAAACTCTTAAGATCAAGATCAAAACTATGAGTATAAAAGACTCTTTCTTTTATTGATATGGAAACTAACTCAAAACCATAAACTCACAATCTCAATCTCTCTTTCACAAACTCATAAACTTCTCATATGGATTACCACACAATGGTATCTCATATATATACACACAAACTTAAACCGACTTAAACATAACTCGTTTAGGGTTTACAAAGATATTTTCCTAAGTTTAAGATAACTCCTAAAACTTTATCTTTATCCACAAGTTAACTCATACATCAAGTTAACTTTAACCAAAGAACAAAAAGCTTAGCTCAAGCTTAACTCAACACGTGGGCTATATATGGATTCTTCATCAAGCCGGCGTTAGTGTCTTCCATTTACTGTTCAGTTTGTTCATGGTATCAAGGAGTAGTTTCAGATTGTCATGCAGATCAACGAAAGCGACGCTCTATGCAATAATCAACACAGAAAATGGGTCAATATCTTGGGCAATAAATAATCAGATTTTTGTGTAAATACAATCCTAACAGGCTAAACCAAGTATGCATTAATCAACAAAGAAAATGGGTCATCATCTTGGAAAATAAATAATCAGCTTCATGTGTAAATACAATCATATCAGGCTAAACCAAGTATTCTTGAATGGGAAAAACAATATAAAACCAAAAGAATGATTTGGTCGTTATTACCGGGTTGATCGTTGGCTCCATCTCGTTCAGCGTGTCACGGTACCTTTGGATCGCCTCCAGGATTTCTTTCTTAACCCAATCTAGGTCTTCTTTCTTTGCCATTCTAACCGTGACTACTAATCAAATATATTAAAACTATGCAAAGAAAATAATATTAAGAATCTTGTGTTAGTTTGGTGAGATAGATATGATGTTAAAGCTATGATATGCAGGGTTTATACAGAGCCAAGGTGAAGCCTTTGATGCCTCTTAATCTGTAATTACCAAACTATACTCTGATTTTTATCAATTTACATTTCAGAATTTACACTTTTTTGTTTTTCTGTTTTGGACCACCACCAAGTACTCAAAACAACTATTAGACCATTTCGGGTTACATGTAACGCGGCATTTACGATTATTTTAGTAATTCTATACACTATCGTTCAGTGGATTTTAATAATCTCATGGAGCAAAGTCAATTCGTAATTTGGAATCCGGAAGAACTAATAAGTCACACTCGTATATGGGTCCCTCTGTCATGTGTTTTTCTTTTCAACACAAGCATTTAATTAGTCATTTGTTTTGTCTAGCTACCTATAGTATTATGATACTTTCTTACTAATTACGATTCTTTAAGCATTTTGTTATTTTCATTTTTGTTAACGAGCTAGGATGACTTGAGTTTCCATTTATAGGAATTGTAGTGTTTATGTTTCGATACAATTTTTTTTCTTCCACCAATTATCATTCCTGAAACCATACTGTAAAAATTAAAATTTTAGTTCGTTCATATTATATTGGATAATTGATACAACCATGTTTAGAGAGAACTTTACAAATACTATAAATACGTAAGGGTCAGAGACAAAGAGAGACTCAATATTGACAATCTTCGCCATTCGGTACGGAATGTTTTTTTTTTTCCTTAGCTTTACTATAGTTTACGATTTAATGTAATTTATTTCAATATTTGTTTTAGAGAGACTATTACTATTTTTAGGAAAGTAGATGTAGTGCGATTATACGATATAAATGTTTTTGACTTTTGATGCAGTTACGTTAGTTAGGCATGACCAAAAGCTAACCGTAACCGTATTTCGGACCGTAACCAGACCGTTTCTCAACCGTAACCGAACCGTAACCGTATAAAACGGTTAATAACCGTAACCGTTAACCGTAAAAATAAATTAGTTACGGTTAAAAAATATACTAACCGTAACCGTTAATTAACCGTAAACGTATCAAAACCGTTAGTTAACCGTACGGTTAACCGTGCGGTTAACCGTATTGTTAACCGTGCAGTTAAAACCTAAAATACATTATTATTTCACTAAAACAGTGCCTTAAATGGTTCAATGCGCCCCACTATTAAATTTAAACCACTCCACTCGTCCACTACTCATTTTTCACAAATCAAATCATAAATAATTTACAAGTTATTATTTTCTCCTGTAATCGTTTCTTAATTCTCATAACATCCTTTCTATAGTATTGTTTGGAATACGTATTGTCAATAAAATAATAACTCAATTATTATAATTACTAGGACTTAGACCCCCCGCGATGTCGCGGGGAAAAGATTTCAAATTTTTTTAAAGAAAAACTATCAAATGAAATTTCATAATAAATTGAGACAACAAGTTTCAAAACAATTTTTCGTTAAATAATGTAAATGTAGCAATGGTTCAACTAAACAATCACAATTGTTTATGAAGTGTTACGATAAAAAGATGTAACCGTAAAAAATATTTATTCAGATTGCAACTTTTTGAAAAAAACAACCGTAAAATATATATTTTAGTTAAAAAAAAAACTATATAATATGAGACGTAACTTTAAATGAATATATGCAACTATGAAGATATAACCGTAAACTGAAAAGATACGCATGTAACTGAACAAATTTAACTGTAAAAAAACCGTAAATATGTTAACGAAGAGATGCAATAAAAAAACACAACCGTAAAAAAATATCCGTAAATATTTTAACGAAAATATGCGATAAAAAGAAACAACCGAAAAAAAAATAACCATAAATATTTAAACGAAATATTGCGATAAAAAGACGCAACCGTTCAAAAGTGCAAGAGGCATTTATTGAGATTGCTATTATATATAGATTACCATTGATTTAGTTATTCGTTGGTTTACTTAACAGAACAAAATAGCTAATTAACTATAAATATTAAAATACATAATTACATATATTATATATTATAAAATATATTATATATTATTTGATATATCATCATTAAAATTTTTATTCTAAAAGTTAAAAATACCTAAGTTTTTATCTTTGATATTAACCGTATCGTAATAATTAAATAACCGTAACCATATTTAACCGTAACCGTTGTAACCGTAACCGTATTTAACCGTAACCGTTTTAACCGTATATATAACGGTTAAGGTTACGGTTAGAGAAATTTTATAACCGTAACCGGAGGTTAATAAACCGTAACCGCAATAACCGTAACCGTGGTCATGCCTAACGTTAGTGACAAATGTTCCAACTTTAAGTTATGTGTTGTATCTTTTATTTTCCTTTTTGTAACCGGTTAAGCAGTGTCACAAACAACAAAGAGTTTTTGTTTTCACCCTTTATTGAAAAACTAGTGGGCAATTCATAATTCTCTTGGGATTGTTTATTTTACTTAAACATATAGTTGATCTGTTAAAACCTTAGCAGTTCATTTTTTTTAAAGCTTTTTTGTTATATATATTTTCAAGTTCATAAGTAAATTATGAATGTTAGAACCCATTACACAAAACATGTGTCTAATATATATAGAAAATAATCAATATAGTTATTCGAGAGACCACTGAAAAACTCCTCCTTAAGTGCACAATTGAAGAACAACCGATGACTATATTTTAAGATTAAATCGTCTTTTCACAGAAAAATAAACATCTTTTTTTTCTTCTGAGATACAACACCCCTAAACATATCTAAGTATATATAAAGCTGTATCATTAATTCCCTTAGAACAATCCTAAGCATAAAAATTGCAGTAGCTAGATTAGTCTAATTACAAAAGTATGTACAGGTGCATTATCATTAATTAGAACTTCAACCATAAGTCCTCAACATGGTAAAGAGTTAAAAACAGGTTTGAAAAATGGGGTTTGCTAAAAATAGCTAAGGTTGAGAATTGAGACACAAAAGTGATTTCGTCATCTTGCGTGAACATGTGACTTGATTCTTTTATGTTTATATACTAATTATGGTAATATTTATCACTTCGTAGCATGTTATCAACAAAAACTCCGAATGTACAATAAACTAAATATAATATAGCATAGAGAATTTTAAAGTATAATAAACGGTACAAATGTTAACATATAATAATCGTATCCTCACATCAGCTAAAAAATGTAACCATTGACGGAGAATAAATTCTAATATATATTGTAAGCATGTTTTAATTTGTTGTGAGCTGTTTTTCTCTCATTTTCTAAGTTTTTTTTCCTCTCATTTTATTACTCTTTGTTTTTTTCTAAAAATAATTACCGATCTAGTTTCCACGAAACTACTAAAGTAATCTCAACTGCTTAAAAGCAAATATGCTTTGAAAAATGGTTCATGAGTCATAATGACAGATAGAAATCACACAAATTGGTTTCTATTTTGAACTTTGCGTATGAAAGTGATTATTTACGTATGAGGTAAAAACACTATTTAAAAAGCATGAAATATATGTTAGTAAACAGATTAGTTTGTAATTTTGTAAGAGAAAGAGAAGGTTTATGTAAATATGATGGAATACTTTATTCTTCATACAAGTGGCACGTACGTACACATATTTGGGTGGGTCTGCATGTGATTATTATTTACGTATGAGGTAAAGACACTATTTAAAAAGCATTAAAGATGCATGCACACACATCACATTCACATATATATATGTAGTAAACTCTAGTTAGTTTGTAATTTTGTAAGAGAAAGAAAAGGTTTATGTAAATATCATGGACTTAGTTGATTGTGATGAAATACTTTAGTATTATACATCGTATTTGTGACACCACAAATTCTATAAATAAAGCCCTCGATCTCAAACACTAAACATGTAGAACACAATATTCAAAGGAAAAAAAAAGAGAGAAAAACAAAAGAAACACAATGGCTGATAAAAGTATGCTTCCTCCAATTAAGCCTCCAACCCCTGGTGGTGGTGGCGTCAAGAAGTACACACCGCCAGAATCTCTCAACATGAAGACTGGACCCCAGGACACACCGACGATCGACGGCAAGGCGGTGACGGGAAAGCCAGTTTCGAGGGATCCAATAGTGAAGAAATGAGAGGAAGATCGAATACAGTGAAGTTCTAATTAATAATATTATTAAGATTCTCGTAAATATTGATGCATATATATAGTTTATAGTTTTTTTTATTTTTTTCAAAAACAGGTTATTTTGTAAATATTATAAACCATGCCTGTAAGTAAATAAATAAACTTTTAACTTTCAATTAATAGACGCGTTCTCTCTCGTCTCTCTCTCGCGTCTCTCGTCTCTCAAGGTGAAATCCGAGAGTTTCGTATGAATTTTTAATTTTTGGCAACTGTGCCGTGTTCTCTCGTCTCTATCTCTCTCGTCTCTATCTGATAAATTTGGTTTCTTTTTGATGGTTTCATGATCGAAATTATGAAAACCCTAGGAAGCTTCGATTATTGGGTTTCTTTGAGATCAAATGGAAGATTCGATCTTTCTTCTTCAGTAGTTGTGCTGATTTTGCTATCAGTTCATGATGATTGTTGATACAAACTGTGTTTGGATTCTTTTCCCGTTAAAAAAATTGAATCTTGTAATGTAGAAAATTGAGCTTTTTTGTTTAGCTGGTGATTCTAATTTGTTTTGAGGAGAGTTAGTTGGTTATTATGATTTTGATCATGATGATGCTTTTCTTAAAGTTTTGAGCTTTTTTAGGTGGGGAGAGGGAAATACAGAGAGTATTTTTAGGGGATTAGCAACCACAAGAAGAAAAAGAAGGTGAGTGTGTCTACATTTCTTCAATTGGTGACTTCTGAATCTCTAGGATTATATCGGCTTACTTTAGTCGCTTCAATTGGTAATTCCCTTTGATATCATGTAGCAAAAAAGAAGGAAGAGACTAAACATTCTGATTAATGAGCAAACAATGGTGTTGCTTTTACAAAGGTTTTGCCTTTCTTAAATTTGGACAGCTCTGGCATTTTTGGTTGCAGGTTTTGTTTGTCTAGCCTGCGACATTTCTTTCTTGGAATTTGTTCTTGATCAAGTTTGTTCTTTCTGTCTCGCTGTCTTTTGTTTTTAAAATCAGCACTAATGGTAAAAAAAAAAGAACACCCCAAGCTTGCAACGTGACACCATAGAACTAACAAGAAAGTTAAGCCATATATTTTTCATGAATCTGATTGGTCTTTTGTTCTTGCATTTTTGTGTCTTTGTGTGGATAATGAAAGACAAGGAGTGAGCTACTACCACTTTAAAATTCGTAATTGCTTCTATTTTGCGCAGAGACGTTCAGTTTCCGGGTTTGATAAAGACCGTGGCTTGTGCCGGACGCCCGCTGAGGAACATCTGTTGGTGCGATGAAAGAGAAGGAGAAACGCACTAGTCTTGGAGCAGGTCCGGTCGGAAGCAAAGCTGAGGACGGCGCCAATACCATAATGTTGTTAATGTTGATTTTGTGGTTAGATCGTGGTTTCTTGACACTGATTATTCGCCTCCAATCATTTTCTTTGAAATGCTAGATTCCTTTTGTTAATGCTCTGTTCTCTCTGAAACAAACTCTACATTAAGTTGCTAATCTGGTTTGATGTGATTTTGAAGCTCCAATCAATTGATGATGAAGACCTTAAAGCGGAAGACGAGGATGTGATAAGACCACGGACATAACCACTTGAAACTATTACAGCAGCTGGTGCTGGATTCGACGATGATACTGCAGAAGAGGAGCGACGTATAATTAATTATAGAGGTGGCTCATGGGTGTCACCAATTACTATCATATGTACTTGGCATCAACCATGTTGCTTAGAATAATTGATGCATCATTCTGGTTTATATTTGACAGAAATTTCTGACAAACGAAAGCAGACTACAAAATCCAGAATGACAAAGACACACATGTTGAAGATATCAAGAAAGACATAAAATCCTTGTCAAAAGAAGAGCAAATGGATGTAAGTATTGATGTTTTCTCCCTAAATTTTTATTCATATTGCAAACTGAATTAGTTTGTGACTAATATGTAATAATAACTCTTAGTTTTAAAAATTTGTAAAATAAATGGCGCATATAAGTTTATGATGGATTAACCAATCCTTGCTAAATAATAATAATTCAGAATTAGCAGAGTGTCAGTAAGCTGAGAAGAATTTGAGATCCTCGACATAGATTTTAACTCGTCCATCATCTTCTCTTTATCTTCAAGATCACAAGTTGATTTCATGGAGAGTGAAACTCTTTTTAAACACCTGGAGTTAGCAAGGATGTATCTTATGAGTTCCTTCTCTTCGCTTCTTCCTCCATATTCTTTCCATTCAAAGATTTCGAGATGGGTTAACAAGCATTTAGGAACACAACTCGGACGATTCCAAGAAAGTGGTAAATTCTCATTTATACCGACAGTCTAGTAAGATACAAGAAATTAAAACATTTACTTCAGTTCTAGCCCACCATAATTTGCATTTTATCTTGATTGAAATAATGGAAAGATCACGAACCTGGTCAATAAGAAGTAGTTTTAGTTTTGGAGAATTTTGAACTAAAACCATAAGTGGTTCCAACCAATCAAAATCAAATGGTTGTATCCTACACTCTACAAGCTGAGAGAAATTAATGGTGGTACAACACTTAACCTGCAATAAATACAATCATTACATAAGTGATCGTTTGAAATATAACCAACAAAAGTGACATTGAGAGAAATATCAATGCGTACCGTTCCTATGTTGAAAAGTACATCAAAAATAATGAGCGAAGAGAGCATAAACTTGTCACCTAGGTAACACATAGCTGATATACTTGCTTTATCAAGGCGAGGTGTGTTTTCAATTGTGCAAGAGTCTCCCGAATTATCAAAGACGATAATTTTCTTTAGAGCATGAGAATCAATAACCAAAGACCCCCTAATATATCCTGTATTATCATAATTGTCATACTCATATATTATGAACTCTAAAGAAGATACTTTCACTTTGAAATTTTTCACGTTGTCTTCAATATGTCGTTTCACATGTAAGAACTTGAGGATATGACAACCTGCTAAAAGTCTAATTAGAGAATCTTCATCTTTAAATACGACATACTTAAGATCAAGCAGCGTAAGTGATGGGAGACAAGACTGAGAAACAAGTTCCACTAAAATCTTTTGGGAAAGCCTCAAAGTGACGAGAGTGTTGCATGTGTAAAGGCTCTCAGGCAACTTGATAGGCTTTGCTGACCAATTGAGCTTAAAATCTAGTCTGCGTACTTTGCGATCAATAGCATTTGTAATCCACTTTCCGACATCTTCATCGACAGGACATTGTCGACCGAGATGTACAGATATACTTTCTAATACAGGTGCCTTGTGAATTTTCAATGACTTATCAAAAAATTGCCAAACACTTTTGCATTCACTGTCTTCGTAATTCAGTGTTGGCATCATCGTCCAAATAGACAACCACCGTTTTGACAAAATCATGGTAGCAACTGCATCTTTTGTTGGGACAAGCAATAATATTTGCAAAAGCAAATCGTCGGGTAAGTCACTGATCATGGTTTTACCTACAATTTTCTGAAAATTTTCAGATTCTGAAGATATTTTATCCATTCTTGACTCAAAATTATGAGTTAGTTGTACACAATGCAACCACATTATATATTGCTATTTTCAGCTTAAAATATCTAGAAAATATAACCAAATACGTTACTTATAAAAAAATTATAGATTTTCTTCCAAAAGTACCATTTATATTGCTTTTGTGTATGCCAATTTAGAGAAAGTTTTAATATGGATATCTTACAATTATAAATTCTAAATTTATGTAGGAAAATAGAGAGAATTAGAAATATATATAATATGTTATGATTTAAAGAGTTTTAAGAATATCTTCATAAATATATTTAAACTAGGAAAACTATCTTGACACAATTGTTTTTAAATTAGTTATACACACAAAAACATAATACATTATATTATTATTTTCTTTTATAAATATATTAAAACTATAAACTATTTCCATTTAGAAAATAATTATAAAATTATTTTCTTAAGAGTTATTTTTTTTTTCTATACAGCTCATGTCCATACAAAATCATAAACTTTTAAATTTATAAGAATTCTAAAAATTGGAAAAATAAACAAATATCAATTAAAGTTCAATGTAGTTCTAAATTAAACAAATATTTAGGTTCAATGTAATTTATATGTGAAGATTGTAAAAATTATATGAATATTAGATAAGGTTTACAAAAGTTGGGAACAAGTAAAGCCCGTGGCATCGCTACACATGCCAATTAAAATAATATATCCATACCCAAACCAAAAAATTAGATTTACATGGTAGCATGCAACAACAAACATAAGTTATATACCAACACCATAACGTCAATTTTGTCACTGTTCTGATGTACCGTCATGTGGACCGTATTGTTTTTGCTAGGTACACCTATTATTATAACATGTTATATGACTACACATTGCAACTAAATCTATATATAATAGCAATCTAATAAATACCATTTGCACATCTGAACGGTTGCGTCTTTTTATCGCAACTTTTCGTTAATGTTTTTATTAATTAAAATATATATTTTACGTACGGTTATGTTTTTTTTTTATAAATTGCATTCTGAATGTTTTATACGGTTGCGTTTTTTATTGTAACTCTTCATAAACAGTTGAAACCGTTTATTCGAATCATTGCAATATTTAGTTTATTTTACGAACAATTGCAACCTTTGGTTTATATATTTAGTTTATTTCACGAACAATTACAATTTTTGGTTTATTTTATAAATAGCTATAACATTTAATTATCTACCGCCGTGTCTGTCGGTGTAACTTTTCATAAATTATTATTTTAATTCTTAATTTTTAATTACTAAAATGTATTTAAATGAGATTGTAACTATTTAATTGAACTGTTTCAACATTTGGATTATTTGACGAATTATTGCAACTTTTGGTTTTGTGTTACGAACCATTGTTATCTTTAGTATATTTGATGAAGTATTGCAACATTTGGTATAATTGACGAACCGTTGCAGTTTTTAGAATATTTGATATCTATGGTTGCGTTTCTCGGATAAGTTCGTCATATTTTTAAAAAATATTTAAATACTAAAATATATTTAAATGAA